GCGATTATATGACTAGCTAATAAATATAATTTCATGGTATTCTATAAGATATCCCTAAGTGTTAATTGTAACAGGAGCAGTTAAATTCTTTAGACCAGTTAAATTCTTTGGCTATGAAAGCATAACAGTTTCTAATCACCTGGTAACTTTGGGCATTATTAAATATATGGAGATTGAAAGACATGGTAGAAGCAATGGAAAAGTCTGGCCAGACTGGGTAATTTGTTTTAGACCTATGGAGAAATCTATTAACCATTTCTTCTATAGACCAATTTGATTAGGGAGTAAGACAAGCTGTTCTTTCATTACTTACCAAAACCATACTGCACTTTGTATCAATTATTTGGCTGTCTGCAGCACATAGATTAGAATAAAGGGCTTTCTTAGTGTTTGTGAATGTTGCGGATTGCTGATTAGTAATTAAAGTACTGAATGAAGAAAATTAGGCCAAAATTGAATGGGAATGAGAAAGTCTTAATTCTGTGATACAGATGTTAGAAACAGATTGTCTTGAGCAACCCATTCAACATAGTGGCATTCTACATAGCCATGGAGTGTTTGCCTCCCATGTAAAGCTCAAGTCAAATGCCTTAGAGATGGTTTCCTCTCCCCTGCCTTGTGATGTAGCTGTATGGGTATTAATTTAGTGAAATATCCTGTCTGCCAGGTGTGGGAACTAGCTGATTTTATTGTAATACCAGATCATTACTTAATTCATATGCAACAGAGTGCAGCACATGGAAAGCATTATAAATCTATTTACAATGTGGCTGGTCTGATGATAACATTGTATTAAATTCCCAGGTGAGGCAATTTAAGCAATTGCTTTGCCATGTGCACGCTGTGGAAATTAAATTCTCATATACGCTTTAGTAATAAACCAACTGCATTGTTATGCTTATGTGAGTGGTGGGTTGTAGAATCCTCATTCTGGCTATGTGTACCCTGTTTCACATGTAGAATCATATAGAAGGCTGCACCACAGATCACAGTTCTTAATTAGTTTCAGCTAAGTTAATTCATCTTGTTTGTAGTCTAGCAGTGCCTATCCAGAAACATATTCAGTTCAGTTGGGAAATATTAAGGCTTGGGTCAAGTAGACAGATTGTTTCAAACCAAATTTCCAGACAGAACTGGCCAAGTGTATCTGATTGAACTTGGCTTTAAGAAACTCAGCCAATCGGTGTTGAAAATCAGCCAATCAGTATCAGTATATCAAGTGAAAACTGCTTGGAATCTGAAATCCTCACTTTCATAATGAAGGACTCACTTTTGTCATCAGTTTAAAATAGGCATCGAAACTTTGTGTGTCTAACTTTTTAGGGATAGCAGTCAATTGTTAATTTGCCATATTCTTTCTGTAATTCATATATGGTCTGTAGATTTTTCTGCCCAACTGTGTCTAGTCCACCTAAGTTTAGTATAAGTTAGAAGGAATAAGCCTTACACAAACACACAACTAAAAGTGAGAAATGCTCTTGTATTTAACTCTGTGTGTGTGTGTGTGTGTGTGTGTGTGTGTGTGGCAAATATTGTCAGTCGAAGCTTTCCACCCGTATGGTACAGACCTGAAATTGCAATAGATTACACACTGCATAGACTTTCTGTCTTCTCCAGAAGCCACATATAAAGCACCAGTAGACAGTGGTAACTGACAACTAAGACTAAAAATGTTGACAATTTCTTGATTTGCCTGGTTAGCTTATGTATAGAAGTCATTAACTATTTATAAAATGCATTATGAATTGGGTTCCTTCGAACTGTGGCTGAGTGTGTGACATTTCCAGCTCAAATTCTCATGCTTGCATTTGGCTAAAGTACAAATTTTATACAGTTGATGATAAAGTAAAAATATTTTAGTTTATCAAGATACAGTTGATGTTTCAGCTTCATTAACTTTGAGTCATCTGAATTAAAATATACCTAGTACTTAGTAATAGAGAGTGAGGTTATTAAAAATAACACAAAAGGTAAAATTATTTATTGATGTTTTGGAGGGAAATTATCAATAAAATAAGCAGTTTGTCATTCACAGGAATTTGCCTTTTTTGGAATTCAGTCAGTTTAGTGATGATCCTGCAGGCTAAATTATAGCTGATTACAATCAGCTTACTTAAAATTTCAAACCACAAAATAATTAGGAGAAAATACCAATGTCAGGCATTTAAATATAACTCTTAATAAAACAAAGTCTTAATTTTTTTAAAAAAATTGTAAAATGATATCCAGTGTAAAGAGCTCGATTTTCTGCATCAGTTGCATCATTTTCAAGAAGAACTATTTCTGGTATTTGAAATGAGCTTTTTAAAAATTCTTTTAAGAGAAGTTAGTTTAATCAGAGAATATTTTATAAACTCAGCATATCATTTGCTTAATTACATCCAGAAAGCCATCCAAATGACCAGTTTTTACCATCCCAAAAGTAAAGACTGACATATATAGGGACCACCTTTCAACTGTGGATAAATCCTTAGTTCTCCTCTGTTGCTGAACATGTACACTCTTAAACAGCGTACACTCTGTACACTGGTTTTCAAAAGCAATGGATTCTCACCAAAACAAGAGTAGATATTTAGGGATACATGTTTGTAATTTTCTTTTTCTTTTGAAGTTTAGTAAATCAAAATAAGAATATAATGTAATTGAACAATCTATGCCAATTTGTTGGTATTTTGGTGAAAGGGGGGAAAACAAAAACAATCTCCATATGATACTCTTGCATACTGTGGAATGTTTTAGTCCCCCATAGTGATGAAATGAATAATTAAAAAGGCAGCTCTGATACCACAGCCTGTTTAAAGGTTCTCATTTCCTTTAATGCTGTAAAATACTTTTGCTTAGCTAGTTTGAAACTACTGTAGTGGGGATCTCCAAACAGGCAAAAGAAAGGTTTGGCTTGATCTAAATATTGTTGTAAGGCCATGAGGTATACTGACCTTGCTGTTAAGCATTTTTCAATACAATTCTGTATGAAGTCTATAGAAATAATTAATAGTAGCTTCAGTAAATACAATAAGAGAAGCAGGCTTAATATATGCAGTTTGTGGTGGTAAGAAGTCTGGCATGTTCACAAGTGAATGAGTTGGTTCACTCCTGAATTGTTAAGACATCTGATATAGATGTCATTACTAACCTCAGGCTAATGACTTAACTTTGCTACTTTGTCCTCTGCAACACTGTTGGTTTTATTTATCTATTTACAGACTTGCTGCATTTGCTAAGGTACAAGAGATACACTTGCAGCAGAGAAGGGGACTTGGGGTAGAGACTCAGGGCAGAGAAGGGATGCCATCATCTCCTTTCTACTGAAACATTTTGCAGTTTTTGCATCTTTTTCCTGAGTGCATTCAAAGGGTAATAAAATGGGGAGGAAATTTTGTGTGGTAGAATGAGTCAGGTTCTAGTTTCAGTTTAATCAAAGTGATCTTTAGAATTCCATGAGAATGATTTGTTTTTTGAAAAAAAAATAAAGGGATGTCTAGATTTGTTTATTTTTATTTACACTCCAGTCAGCCTTTTTCAACTAGGTTCTGCAGGAGAGTTAAGCCCTAGTGCCATTAGGCTTCTAGTCTATGTAATGAACTAAACTCTCTCTTATGTACCATCCTTGATAGATTGAAAAAATAGTCACTAAAATAGTTTTCCATTTTGTGGTTCAGATAAAGAATCCCAATTGAGAAAGGCTGCAACTTTAAAATGATTCAAAATCTACTGGGTTTTCTTGTTAGAAGTCCTTTTAAATTCTAGTATGATTTCACATTTAAGATATTATGACCTCCATGTTGCAAAGCAGTGTAACTTACTAGTATATAAAAATCTAATTAAAAATCTTGTTGACTTCTGCTCAAGAATTATGAATAGTCCTTTTTAAACTACAATAATTTTTCAGATCATAGTTGAACAAGTACGAAATGTTGAAGCCTAAACTGTAGCCTGCAAGTGAGACAAGATTACTATTTCCCAGCTGCCATTTTTAAATTGACTCTTTTTGCTTAGTTCAGAAGCAGAAAAAGGCAGCAAAGTAACCTGTAAATCTGCATTTGGATCTGAGAGGGTGATGCTGAAGGAGGATCTGAGGATGGCACTCTAGCTTCACAACTAACTTTCAGAGCCTTTTAGCTTTTCCAGATGTGTATACATTTAGATAATTCATGAATTGCTTATAGACACATATCCCTCTGACTTTACAGGTCAAGGTCGATTTCTTATAAAACAAAATTTCACTGAGTGAAATGTTGACTCATAGCCCACTTGTCTTTATTTACTGGGATTGAGAATGGTTGACTCACCCCACTTGCCTTTATTTACTGGGATTGGGAAATTTAATTTGTTTTCACACACACACACACACACACACACACACACACACACACATTACTTTTCCTTAGGCTATTATTTGAGGAGGGCTTGGGGACATTTAAGTTATTGTTTGGAAACGGGGTGGACTTTTAAATTCCATCTCTTTCTGGCTAGTAACATCACAACAATGCAGGAGACAGAGATGAACTATTTTCCAGGCATTCCAGTGTACAGTTGGAGTTATAATATTATCCTAGAATTAGCAATTTTAAAAGACCTATATTCTAAAGTTCATTTCCTGCCACAATTTTAAAGACCCCCATATACACTTGTCTTAATTACAATCTGGTGATTTTTGCCAGTAAACAGTTTATATAGCTTTATTTCCTCTAGTTTAGTGGTCTTATTTCAATGACTATGTATGGAATAACATACCAGTTCTGATCCACTTGTGAATATTAATGGAGTACTTACACAATGCAGAGTTTTCTCTCATTACTGACATTTGAAAAACTTCTAATTTACATTAAACTTCTCAAGTTCAAGAACTTTACACAACTTTGCTTTGCAGATCTTAGCAAATAGGTTTCCATTAGGGGGCTCTCGAGGTTTGAGATGATCAGCCTTGATACCAATAATGCTCCGAAGCCTTTACTTTCTAACGTTCATCTCACTCTCTCCCTTTTTGTTTTGTTTTATAGAAAAGGTCACGGATCGCCTACAGTGACGAAGTACGGAATGAGCTCCTAGGGGATGATGGGAATTCCTCGGAGAACCAGGTAGAATGCTAATCAGGAAGGCCCGGTGGGTGGCTGGAGGGTGAAGGAGGTCACTGGCACACTGGGCTCTCAAGCTGCTCCTTAACAGTATTAGCAGCAACTCATGTGGAAGCGATACTGTTTAATGCAAAGCTGGAGTCTTAATCAACTTCAAAATGTTTCTTGGAGATCTTACATTTAACCCTTTACCTTGTGATCACTGTCTGCTATCTTTTAAAAAATCTTTTCTTCTCTTTTCTTTATTATTTAGTACTTAAGGAATAACTTGAAACACACTGTTTGCAGACAAAGCCAAGGTCTTCACCTCAAACACATGTAAAAGGAATAAAAAAGTACATAATGCAGCTTTGATAATAATGCAGTATAATTAAATCAACACTTGCAGCAAAACAAATGAAAGTAAGCTTTCAAAATTCAACAGGGCAGCTCAGTCTCCCATTGTGGAGCTTCTTAAAATACATTCACCAAAATGCAAATTGTGAGCACCAGTGTGGAACTTAGATACTCATATAGAGGTCCTGCTTCTGTCAAATAATAATAATAATAATAGGAAAATTCTTTCTACAGTTTAAGATCTGCATAGGCAAAAAATAAGATACAGTTTCTTCTTAAAAGGGCCTTACAACTTGGCTGTCAGTTCTCATTGGATCACACAGCAGTGCCATGAGTCTAATTAATGTCCCACTTCTTCCTTTGAATTAATACTGGAGACTTCATTAATTCTTATAGATAATGTATATGACTTAAAAAAATGTTTTAAGAACCTCAGTGTAGAGATGACTTTTAAAATGTCTCAAATAACCCTAGTGACTTACTCTCTTTGACACTTTTAGAAAAAATAAATGATGGGAACTTCAGAAGCAAGACCTGAATGTGTTTATTAATATTCCTTTGGCAAGTATTGTAAAGGTCTCTACTCTGCCTAAATAAAAATGAACATAAATCATTCATTGAGTAAACCACAATTTTAATAAGATAGTAAAACATAATATATTGATACACATTATAAAACTTGTATAATTATATTTACCATTTCAAACAGATTATATTACAGGTCTACATATGCTGAAACTATATTACTATCTACTCTAATGTTAATATTGTAAATGGGATGTTGCTTATGTGATTAAGGCCCCCATCCATCCACCCAAAAAAAGGAGGGGGGAGAAGAATCACTGAGCTGATTATATTTGTTTTTGGAAAGATCTCACCTCATCCACTATTTGGATGTTATCAGCTTGAGTTTAGACATGTAAACACGTTAAGATTTGACTTGGGATTTCAGCTTCCCTGATTGAAATGTGAGAACGGCTAAGAGAAAAAAAATAAGGAGCACATCAAACATAAAAGGGTGGTGGGATAAAGGGTTTTACTCATAATAGATTAAATAACTTGAGGATGAGAGAAAAAATATTTTCTTCCTATTTTAAGTGAGATTTAGATTGTTCATATCTCTTGAATGAATCATAATTTTATTTTATATCTTTACTGCAAAAAAAAAAAAAGCATTCTCTTTTTTGCAAAAAGTGAATGCATAGTTCCCATGTCAGTTCTCTAGAAAGCTATAGATCTTTCCTTCATTTGAAACTACTGCTTAATATAGAGGAAATAGAAAGGAAGGGGTGTTCCTGTCTAAGTCAGACTCCTTTATTCCAATAGATGTAGTACTCTGACAGGGATTCCTTTTTTTATTTTTTTTAAAGCATGTTCACTTCTCTTAATGGACATTTTATATGCCTAAAACATTTGCCTCACGTACATATAAGTATGATTTTTTTTTTATGCCTAAAGAAAAATATTCCGCAAAAATAGAGTTCGTATTTTCTGAATTTTTCAAATTATATTCCTGTCACTTTAAAGTGATTACGCAGAGATTTCCTCTGGACTTGTATAAATCAAACTTACAAATTCTGAATGTGCTTGGAGAACCTGAAGTTAAGTTGTAAGGAGCTGTCACTTCAATAAATAGAATATGATAAATTATAGTCATGAGACAGTGTAACTGTTAGATTATTAGTTATGTGAACTTTTCAGTCCAAAATTCAAATTAGGTTTGAAAGTTCAAAAAGACTACACTTAACTTCCTGGATATTTTGTTGCTAACTATAACAAAATTTCTATTCCATAATGAAATGATTAAATTTTGTTGTGGGGCTTTTTATCATAATATAGGAATTTAAATCCCTCAAACTAAAACACATCCCTTAGTCAGGAATGGTCACTTGAGAATAACTCTTTATTCTGCATCAGTATTCATTCAGACTGTGGAATCAAAACAGAAGCCCTTTCTTTAAAGGAAGAAAAGATTTTAAGTTGGCTCTTTATATTAATTTTTATAGCTCAGGGGCTGAGAAGATCGTTCTTTTTTTTCTGGGTAGGATTATCTTTAATTTATATAAGAAAATATTTCCTGCCCACAACTAAGATTATCTTCAAGTTAATTGTTGATAAATTGACTTTCAGAACTTTGTAGCCATGTAATATTTAAGGTAAACTTTTAATATACAGAGAAAACTTGGAGGTAAATAAAATGATACAAAAATATACGTTTCACTGAAATTGGGATGTATCTCAATTTTTAAAAATTATAGATCAGAAAAAGGAAAAAAAGAATTATAGCAATGGTTGCAAATAGGTAAAATTAACTACTGACTAGTTATTTTCAATACAACATACACATCCTCCCTATAGTGGCTTCTTTGTAGAGATTTAGGCAAATGTGAATGCCATAGCTATTATTTCTCATTCTGGCCATTTATAATGCATTTTTTTAGGCATCTAAAACCTGTTAGACACATAATCTGTCAATTAACTATAAAGTATATTAATTTACTCTTATATAAACATTTCTGACATGATTAGAAATGTCAAGATTTCAGCAATTAAGAATTTTTCAAGTGCATCATTAATGTCCCTCATACAGTACACAATTTCATTTAATTCCCAATTAATTGCTTTGTATAAATTCATTTCTGATTCATATCCATTTCATGCAATCAAATATGGCTCATCCCTCATTTACAAAAAGGGACAAAATTACCTACTTTGCACATTCGAGTATTGTTGGGTCATCAGCTTTCCAAGGACTATTGTCTTAGGCATTATCATTCTATTATTTTAAAATACCATGTTTTCCATTCCATATGGCAAGATTTTAATTCTTTGAGAGAGTTGAGTTTTTGAAATGTAGTAGTGCTGTATTTAGAGTGGAAACTTTAGTAATTGTTACCTTTAGTTTCATGAAAACCATTCTCAGGAAAGGAAAAAAAAATCTTACAGAAGTAAATCCCCTAATCCCCTTCATAGTGGAGTATGATGATGGGGCACATAAAATGTTCCAGACTCTACTTTTGAACCCTAATGGTCTCTCAATTTCCGTATGCAAAATTATATTGATTGGTGAATAAATGTGAGTAAACGAAATTTTAGTGAATCCTAAATAGAAGGTTCAAATACATGTCTAAGGAGTAGGATATTCCTAAACATGCCGAAATTTTTGTGGTAAAGCAGTATTTAGCAGATATGATTGCTTAATTTTTTAATGCGAGGTTCTCTTAAGTTCCGATTTGGGCTTGCTGTGCATAAAGTGTGTCAAACTTCAGCTACAGACCAGGGGGTGAAGTCGGTCAATTTAATTCCCCAAGATCTAAAGAAGGTCGGTATCATTTCATATAGCCCTGGCAGAGCAGATCATTACCAGGCACAAATCTGTTCGTTACGTGCTGAGGGTTTATAGCGAAATAAATAGACTGTCATCGTAAGTTCAGAAAATTGTGTGTTCGACCCACGATAATGTGTAAAGGGCGTTTAATAGAGTTCAGCATTTATTCGTTATCTGTATGCGGACAGAGACGGCAGTGGCGTTATCAGCTTTAAAAAAAAAAAAATCGGTAGTTCTGGGGGTCACGTGACGCACCTCACACACACACAGGCGCGCGCGCATGAACCCTCACATGCGCTGCAGTGCAGTTTTGATTTTAGCCACAGCAGAAGGCTTAACCACAAGAGATTCCACTGGTTCAAACCAGCGTAAACCAGATTTTTTCAGCCCACAAAGGAACAGATTACCGCTTGTATCAAATTCTGCATTGGGGGAAAAAAAATCTTTGTTTCAAAAAAGATGTTGATTATCATAACTCAACATGGTGGCATGGCACATTTTCAAGTCGCCAATGATGGAGCTAGTAACTCAATAAAATACGAAATCACTACTTTCAGTCTAGTCTAAGCATTGTTAATTTTCAAAAATAGACCATCTTTTGTTTACTTGAATGAAAACTCCCAGACTAAAAAAAAAAAAAAAAAAAGATAAAGATTAAAACCCCTCCCATTACCTAGCTTAGCTACAAATCCGGTGTAGAGCTTGAATGCAGCCATGCAGCACAAACAAGATAGAACGTTTTTTGTTTGGAACCTATTGAAAAAACAAATGGGTAGCATTTTTAAACACTCATTGATTATGGCAGGGTGGCATGCCCCAAATGGTCTCAATTGCAGAGGAGTAGTTTTAAACTTTGGCCCTTTAAGTATCATAGTCAACTGAAGAATGGTGCCCCCAGAAAGAAAAAATAGCTGTGCGATCAATTCCCAGATCGTCTCTTCCTGAGAATTAATGTTTGCCTTTTTCTCCCATGATGTTCAGATAGCAAAGAGAGAGATCCCTATATATGATAAGCCAGGTATTTTAGTTTAAAATTTTCCTTCTTTTTGAGAAGAATGGTAACCTTTCACATGAAACAGGATGCTTGACTCATAGGCACTGGATGGTTGTTGAGAGAATATTAATTAAAAATAATTACAACTTCTTGTATATTTTGAAAAGACTATATTAAAACTTTCATTTTCACTAAGTGCATTGTGAGACATTATGGAATAGATTCTGTACCCTTTCTGTAAAAGATTCATAACAATTTTGAAATCTCATTCTTTGGACTTGAAATACTTTTCATATAACAAATAAAATGACAGAATAAGCTGGAATACATACTGCCTTCCTTGTGGAGACAAAAACAGCATTAAGCATTGAGAAAGCCGGGCTATAGTAAACATGATACTTTTAGAGAGTGAGCAATTCGTGGCACGTTTTCTCCCAAAGCAATAGTTTAATTTATTGGCCTGTATATGTCAAGTGTTATAACAGATGTTACAGATATTTGGATGTTTAAAAATTATCAGTTGTAGACCTGAATTGCTGAGGATGCAAATTTCAGCCTTAGAATGTGGTTTATAGTCTTTCACAACATAGGTTTCAATTTCTATTCATTGGAGAAACTATGGCAGTCATCTCAACTACACAATGATATATGATTTAGAATACTGTGAAACATATACACACCCCCAGCTTGCTTGCGCGCGCACACACACACACACACATACACACACATACAGAGACACACAAAGAATGAGCCAGATATATGATTATATCCATTTTCTAGTTTCTAAAGAGTTAAATAACTTGTTTTATCTGTTATATTTAAAGTAAGTAAAACATGTTCTACAGAGGAGAATTAAAACATTATCACAGGGAATTTACTAACAAGTAAAGGGTGGTTTTTTGGTTTGACTTCAGTGAGAACAGACTGAAGTACAAATGAAATAAGAGCTCATAGTTCATGGCTTTGAGATGGCCCAATTTACAAGATGAAGAAAATTGAAAAATGAAGAAACTTCAAAAATTAAAAAAAACAACAACCATGTGATTGCAGTAGCCTCTTACGCAAAACAAATCCTAGAAATTAACTCTGATATACACAATATTTCTAAGGATAGTGAAATATTTTGATACTATGTCCTAAATATTATCTCTCCTGGCATGCTTTATTTCCAATTAAAATAATGTTACCTCCAAATACAATCCTATTCCTAGAGTGGACCCATGTATGATATTAACTAACATAATTATTTGTTTTAAATATTTATTGGGACAAAAGCATGGACTATTAATCGTTTTCATTTGTCGGTAAAATCTGAAATCAGTTGTCAAGATTCAAAATAGAAAAACATCCTGAAAACTTGTATATACAAAACCTCTTCAGTGGTACATTCTTAGAAGAGAGGAACAGTAAACTTGTTTTTTTCTTTATAATATAGACTTCTATGAAGCCGTTCCCCTTTATTTCATGATGGTGTCTTAGATGTACTTTAAAAGAGAATTTCACACTATTCTCTTTGTTTAATGTGACAGTGTGAGAAAGTGATCTTTATTCGTTCAAAAAACTCTGCATGTAGTCTATGTTTAGGTTCTTTTAATGTGTTTGTCTGTGATTTTTAAATGCTAAACATGTAAACAGATAAATTGTCAATGTTAATTCTGTATCCTGTCACACAACTGATCTTTCTTTCCTGCCATTTCTTTCCTTTTTATCTTTTTTTTTTTGTGCATTCATGTTGCAGTTGATAAAATTACGTGAAGAGGTGAGTACTTCCTAGCTTGCCTTTTTTTTTTTTTTAAATTCTGCTTTTTCCTATAAAATTGAGTTTCTAAATCTGAAGTAAGATCTTTGGGTTCATTTTTTTCCAGGAAAATTTACACATAGCAAAAGTATTGATTATATGGCTGGAAATGTTCTCTGCTGACTATCTTTTAAAAAAACAAGTAAGCCCTAATCATGCTTATCACAGTGATCATTGTTGGTTGGCATCCGGAGAAAATTCATATTTTAAAGGCCAAAAAAGGGAAGAAAAATAAAGGGATGTCTTAAAACTTTATCCAAGTGTTATGTAGACTAACTTCAGGTTTGTTTTATTTATATTGGTTTTTCAAAGAAGTCAATATGATTAAAAATTTTTTTTTTCTGACATTCCAATTTACTGAAAATTCTTTTAAAATAGACTCTTTTCCCTCACCCAAAATTCTTAGGTTCAACACAAGATATCATGAATCTATTTTCCTTTTAGGGAAACACACATATGTTATAAATGCTCTACTAGTCTGTGTACACAGATACTTAAGAATAGCCAAAGTTCTCCTCATTGTTAAACACTTTCCTTTTTGTAGGAAATAGCACCCAAGTGAGTTCTCACTTTTCTGAGTTGCTGGCCTGTTTTATAATGCAGCTCCGGACTTTTTAGTGGCCCAGCAAATATTTACAGCAATGTTTATCATTTCCTCCGTGTATCAGTGAGGGATGTTGAATGATTCTGGTCTTGTTTTTTGTTTGTTTTGTTTTGTTTAATTAAGCCAAACTTAACAAATATGTTTTGGTACTCTTTTTCAGAGATAAAAGTTATATTTTTTACTTAGTGAAGTTGAGTTTTGTTACTTTTATATTAGGGCATAAAATAATGGCCCAAGTTGCAATTTGAAAGCTGTCTAATTGCTTATAAAGAGTACCGTGAATTATTTTTGAGTTTAGATTGACTGCATTGATTAGGTTTTCCTAGAATTTTTTTATTGGTATGTCATCATTCTATAGCTGACGTGAATGCTAAATGAGAGGCTTGTAGACATGGTTTTCACCACCTCTTTTGACTTAAGATGCTCAAGTGACATCCTCTCTTAGTAAAAGTAATAATGATTTATAAAATAAAGGGTGAAAATATATAAAACCCTTACCTTCTAACCTTCTTGTTTTTTTTTTTTTTTTCGTGGAAGCAGATGTATATACTAAATGAATATAATCAATTGCAGTTTTGATGTATGAGATTATTCCTGAGGTGGGTGATACTCAACATTATTTTCCTGCAAGACCAGAGTATCTGCTTATATGTATTTGCATATGCTCATGCTTAGGTGAAGAATCTGAATTTTCAAATCTTAATGGAACTAACAATAGACTCTAAAACCTGTATGTGAAGAAACTGCACAAAGCTCTTCTGAATTTAGTGAATATAATTAATAAAATATTAGGCCTTATTACAATCAGCATTTTTGACAGATTAATTTTGTTAAGCTGAATTGTGTGGACTTAGAAATCTTAATTCTGAAAGCTGAAAACATCACATCTGCATTTCTTTTAAAATATGTTTTATCATCATTTTTGGCTTAATTCTTTTGTTATGCCTATAGCAACAGTTTCATCAATAATGGCTCTGAACTGCATGTTTCCAAAACTATAACCTGGAATGGAATTGTACTTGGAAGAATTAGATCATTCAACTAATAGAATAATATGCTCTGGAATATTCTTTTAACAGTCTTTGATATGGATGTAGCATTGATATTTGTAAAATAGATTATGATGATGACAGTGCCTTGGTATATGGTTTGCTCAGAAGAGATTGTTTCTCAGCCAGGATTCTAATAGTAATCAAACAGTGAATGTACCCCAGATTTCCTCCTTGTACCTCTCCTAAGAACACAAGCATTCATCTGCTTCAAAATAGGACGTTTGGTTGTGTTTGGATACAAAGTATGCCCCATCCCTTCCTTGGGATGTTCTCTCTCTCGGCTCAGGTCTGGGAACCGGGCATGCTTGGAGGCAGGCTGGTGTGTACAGGGAGCTGAACTGGTTGGTGTTGGCTGTGCTGAGCCCTCCGTCTGAATCCTGCATCTCCAGCTCCCCACATTGCACAGCTCCTCACGCAAGTTGAGCTCTGTCTGAAGCTCCTGCACAGCTTCACTTACCTGCTTTGAAAGGGCTGAGGAGAGGGTGAGAGAATGAGTTTGGGATGGAGTGTGGGGGCAAGTTGAAAGCATCAGCTGCTACTGTAGTGTATTTCCTTTCATTTTCAGAGACCAGGGCAATGCACAACTAAGGGAACAATGTAAATAGCACAGCTGTTACAAGAACTTGATTTTAGCTTGACTTAAGTGAAGAGCTTCCAAAATACAAAGTGAGGTCCTGCTGGAAAGCTGCTGGTAAACTGGTAGTCCTCTTGTGTGCAGATTTACTCTGATAAAATTGAACTGTCCTGAAGAAGAGTTACTTCCATTATTTAGGAATATGCATTTTTTGGTAAATTTCTTTTAGAAATGTTGCTCCCCATTAGAGCCATACACTTAATAATCGTTTTGGCTCTCTTTCGTGGAATTCCAAGAATCATTCTAGATTTAAATTCTTTGTTTTTTATGTTATCTGTTATCATATAATTAGACTGTCCATTTCCAGTATTGATTTTTTTTTAATCTGTAGTAGCTTAGTGTTTTCTTTTAATTTAGGGATTTCATCCAATATGAAAATGAACCAAAAATTTTTGTTCTGTTATTCTGAATTAAAATTCAGATTTACTCTTGATTTCACAAATCAAATATCTTTTTAGAGAATTACCAGTTTGAAATTAAGTCCTTTGTTAAGGTAGAAAACAACATTCAGAGAAGAGAAGAATAATCCCTACTCCCAAAACCTGCATGTAGGGAAAATTAGGAGGAAGAAAGCTATTTTTGATAAGCTGAGTAAAGTGTTTAATTTTATTTAAAAATAGTCATATATACCAAAAACAGAGAACTCCACTTGCTTTTCTTTTTCTCAATTACAGCCTTCAGTGATTTAGCATTTTCATGATATAAGCATTCCTTCCTTCCTCCCTTTTATTTATTTAGGTTATTTATTTATTTATTTATTTGCAGAGGGAGGGGCAGCTTTTCTCTTAATTTCTCCACTGTGTATTAGACAACTCTATTAATTATTATAGACTGTTGTTGCAGCTTTCCTGACCTTCACATCAAGTCCTATCTCTCTGTTCTAAATGCATTGTTTTAATGATTCTTCCCCCCAGCCCCCGCCCCCCCCAGGCCCTTCCCCCCAAAAAAAATTTTCAAGGAAAGCTTTGATGTGGCTTTAGCTGCCTCCAACGTCTGGCCGCATCTCAGATGTGTCACCTATGCCGGGAGGGAATAAGGAAATCACGTTTTGAATGGTAATGATAACATACTAATCACTTCCTTTCTTTGAAGATGGAAGCGAGATATTCTGTCAGCATCCCTGGCTGCTAGAGCTTGGAGGCACTGGTCTAGGTGTATTAGCTTAAGTGTGCATGTCAA